TGTGTACTGCCGGGTCGGTGGATTTGAACCGTAGACCTTAGCATTAGTACACCTAGGGTCAGTCCTGTAGGTTGGTCCTAAGTGTAGCGAAGGGTCAGTCAAACATAGACTAGGAGTTTCTAGAAGTCGCTACCTAGCTCTTCGTAGCTGTAGAAGTCAGCCATCCGTAGCTTAGTCAGCAAAGGGCAGTCCGGTTCTAGTCTAGTCAGCAAGGGCAGTCCCAGTCCGACGTCTACCTAGTCCAGTCAGCAAGTACCAAGTGGGACTGCACACACCTTGGGCCTGGGGCCGTAGGCAGGCCAGACCACCAGCGAAACAGTGTAAATAAAGAGGCAGCACCAGCCATTCATTCATTCGCCTGTGAGCCATGCGGAAGTGCTGCTTGTGTGACTTGTGCATCGGAGGTCTGCAGGAGCTCGGTGACGCAGTGGGCTAGAGGAGGAAGACAGCAGCGGCCATAGCCGCTAGAAGGGGAGGAATAGCCGCCAGCCTTGTTGACGACAACAGTAGTGTGTGTGTGTGATGTGCCTAGACATTCAGGGTAGATCCTAGTACGTGTGTACGTGTGTGTGAGCGAGTGGAGTGAATCTGATGGTGGATACAGTGTGCAGGTGGGAGTTTCAGACTGGCGCTCAGACGCCATAGCCATAAGATTTGACAAGTTGACTTGAGCTGAGTGAAGGCCATAACTCTGAGTTTTCTGTGTGGGCGCCCTGCTCCATCTCAGTCTTGTTGCTGATCCTACTTCGAGGAAGTTGTTCTGCCATCGGCATCTGCATGTATGCATGTTGAAAGTCAAGTTGAAGATAAGTCTGATTGCAGTGATCCCTTATTCCAAACAGAATTCATTAGACTTTACTCAACCTAGGTCCAGCCTGGCGGCATCTAGGAGTGAGCTAACTCTGTGTGTCCAGGTGGCACTGGACCTCCTGGATGCCCTGCCGGTCTGCGTACATGACTGTCCAATCTACTGGCGATCGATGGTCCCTTGATGCAGGTTTCCAGTACTGGTCAAGTGGGGTCCAGCCTAAAAAAATGTGTGGCCTGGGTCCCTACTGGACACCCAGACCTCAATCATGCATCACCAGCTCTCTCTCTCTCTCTTTCTCTGAGCCTACTGCATAGGGACAAGGACTGGGCCAGGACAAAAAACATCCAGTGCTAATATGGACAGAACCTCCCTGGGCCTAAAACTGCCAAACATGAAGGAGGTGTGCCCACCAGTTCGAACAGGCATCACTGCACGGCAGAAGAAGACGAAAAATCCGAGAACCAGAGAAAACTGAGTAACACAGGAATAAAAAAGAAAAATAAAACAGAGAACGTATTTCACGCTGCCTGAAAGAACAAACTGTGGGTCAGAAAATGCCGCAGTCCAATGACCGCTCAAAAATAAGGTGCTCGACTGGGCTATTTTTCTGGCCGCATGGGCCACCTGGACCTGCCTGCTAGGCTGCCCAGCCACCTCACAGGGACAGGTCCCGGGCGGCCTCAGCGCCCAGGTTCAAGCAGGCGTTTTCACACCGATAGGCAGCCTGGTGGTCCCCGGCGCTGCCAGGTGCCATCAAGGAAAATTGATACTGATCGTGATTGATGATAAGCATGATTGATGATGATGATGATGAGCAGGAGGAGGAGGAGGAGGAATCTTCAAGGATGAGGATGAGGAAGATGTTTTCGCCATTGCACAATGCAGCCCAAGTTGTGATGGAATGATGAAGATGATGATAATGATGGTGATGGAGATGGTGATGCTGCTGCTGCTGCTGATGCTGATGCTGATTCCTCCCTTGCTGCAGGAAGATGCCTTGCCCACCCCTTCTCCCCCGACCCCCCACTCCACCCTTCCGAACCAATTTTGGCTAACAACTTGAAAAAGTAAGGAAACCATAAAAGAGCCCGGATTCAGTGTGGCATTCTCAGCCACACGGGCCCCAGTTAGGGCCCGGTTCCAGACAGGCAGGGTAAGCCTAAGGGACGACGGTTCAGATGAGGCCCAGATGGGCCTGGACCATGACGGTTCAGGCAGGCCCAGGCCAAACGGCCACAAGGCCGGTACCGGTCCGGCCTAGGACCTACCGGCGGTGCTGCAGAGGTTGCCACAGTTTTGGGAGCCAACCAGTTTTGAAACTGGACCGTTGATCTAGATCAACGGTTCAGGCCGGTAGGTACCAGCGGGTAGGAGGCCGGCCCAGCACGACAAAAGGCTGGGTACCAGCCTCAGTAGGGAGGTTAGTAAGGCTAGAGGTTAGTCTTCAGGATTAGCGCATCAGCTTCAGCGTTAGCTCATTTAGCGCAGCGCTGCAGCGCAGCATGGAGCAGGAGAACGAAGAGTACAGCGGCGAGCGGTTTAGCGCAGCACTTGGGCGCAACGCCAGTTACCGGCCCAGCCCCTTGCAGCGCCTCAGCGACGGTACCAGGTATCAGGGAAGAAGGCTTCGCCTTCTCTCCCTCTTCTCCTCCATCGCTCCTCTCTCCTCTCCCTCTCCCTCTCTCTCTCCTCCTACCTTCTCAGTCTCAGTCTAATTCTGGGTTCTCCTACGGGACTACTGCAGTATGAAGGATGGTTACGAACTCTGATAACATTTGGAACAGCGACGTTGGGACTACGAGTTGAGGACTATTTGGGGATCTGATTTCATCTTCCTTCTGGAGATGTACTTGACATTGTGAGATCGATATCTGGGATATTGTGAGACTTGGCATTCGCGACATTTCGGATTTTCGTCACTTCTGACAATTCAAGATACTATCTTTGGAAACATTGAGTTGACGTCATCTTCCCTCTCCTCCTCCTTCGTCTCTCTCCTCTCTCCCTTCGTCCGTGGATGATCTCAGTCCCTGGCCCTTCGTCTATGTCTGAGGCCAGGGCATTCACACCCCTGATGAATGTTTGAGAGTGTTCGATTGCAGTCGGAGTCGGGTCCGGGTCAGTCCAAGGTATCTCAAGTCTTCCGCTTGCATTTGTATTAACTCTGTATTATCTGGTCGGTTCTGGGAATCTGCGCCATACTTATGACTGTGTTTCACGAGTATGCAACAGTTTGGTATCGGAGCAGACCAGCATTGGATGACTCACCATTAATTAATTGATTGATTGATTTGAAACGGTTTTCACCTCTTTGCAGTAGCAGACGCAGATCCCAGGGTTCGATCCCTAGACCTTGCCCTACCTGTGTACAGTACCTGTGTAGACCCTGAGAGTTGAACCTGTGACCTGTGTATTCGTAAACAGTTGGTAGGCTGT